AAAGTATTACAAAGAGTATTACACATGTCTCCTTTTTTCTCCCCCTTGACATTCCCCTGGCTTCCCCCACCCCACAGTGTCTTGTGTCCATTAGTTAATCTCATATGCACGCATGTAATTCCTTCGGTTGATCTCCTAATCCCCCCAACCCTCCCCAGGGTTCCCACTGTAGTTTGACATTCTTCTCAATGTTGCTCTGCCTCTGTATCCATTTTTGTTCATCAGTCTATAATGTTTCTTATTATCCATAAATGAGTGAGTTCATGTGGTATTTTTCTCAGCTTCCCAGGGGCCGTCTCAGTCTCACAAGGCCCATCTCAGACTCACAGGGTCTGTCCCAGCCTCACGGGGGCCGTTTCAGCCTCACAGGGGCTGCCTCAACCTCACAGGGGCCGTCTCAACCTCACTGGGGCTGATTCAACCTCACCGGTGCCGTCTCAACCTCACCGGGGCCGATTCAACCTCACCGGGGCTGTCTCAACCTCACCAGGGCTGTCTCAACCTCACCTGGGCCATCCCAGCCTCACCAGGGCCGTCTCAGCCTCACCGGGGTGGTCTCAACCTCACAGGGGGTGTTTCAACCTCACCGAGGCCGTTGCAACACTACCAGGGCCGTTGCAACCCCACCAGGGCCGTCTCAACCCCACCGGGACCGTCTCAACCTCACCAGGGCTGTCTCAGCCTCACCGCAGGTGTTTCAGCCTCACTGGGGCCGATTCAACCTCACTGGGGTCGTTTTGACTTCACCAGGGCTGTCTTGACCTCACTGGGGCTGTCTCTACCTCACCAGTGCCATCTCAACCTCACTGGGGACGATTCAATCTCACTGGGGCCGTCTCAACCTCAAGGGGGCCGTCTCAGCCTCACCAGGGCTGTCCCAGCCTCACCAGGGCTGTCTCAGCCTCACATGGGCCATCTCAACCTCACATGGGCTGTTTCAACCTCACCGGTGCCCTTTCAGCCTCACCAGGGCCGTTTCAGCCTCACCGGGATTGTCTCGACCTCACTGGGGCTGTCCTGACCTCACCAGTGCCATCTCAACCTCACCGGGGCCAATTCAAACTCACCTGGGCTGTCCGTTACTGTTTTAGCATATGGATTCCTTATGATAACATCTGTTGCCACCTGCAGCTAGAATAAAGAAGTGTTTCATGTGACCATATTGTATATTTAAGAATAAAGGTTTGGGAGGAAACTAAGATGGCAGCATAGGTAAATACTGGAAATTGCTGCCTCGCACAACCACTTCAAAAATACAACTAAAAGACAAAACAGACATCATCCAGAACCACAGGAAGGCTGGCTGAGTGGAAATTCTACAACTAGAAGGAAAGAGAAAAGCACACTAAGACTCAGAGGAGGTGCGGAAGTAAAGTGCAGAGGTACGGAGGCGCACGTGAAAAGGGCTGGCAGCTGAGGACACGGCGCACGCGGAATGGGCTGGCAACTGAGGTCACGGTTGTCGTTTTCAATAGGGAGGGAGTCTCAAGCTCCCCACTGCTCTGAACTCCAGTTCCAGGCGAGTCTCTGGGGACCCAGACTCATAGGGGGAGAAACTGGACTGTCTGGCATTGGGCCGAGCTCCAGGGCGGCTTTCTCTCAGAGGAGCTTACAGCGATTACTGGGACACTGAGACTCGGGGCCTCTTAGGATAGGACTGAGAATCAGCCATAACTGTTTGCTCCGCCCTGTTGATTCCCTTTGACCCTGCCCCATCCAAGCTGTGAGCAGAGGCTTTTGCATATGAAAGGCCTCGCCCTTTCCAATCTGAAAATTACCTAACAAATTGCAGCTGGGCCAGACAGACCCAGAACTTCCAAGAGAAAGCCCAAGGCCCCACAGCAGCTTGCATTGCTTCACAGATGGGCCTCATCTGAGCACCTCCAAACCCCAAACAAAGAAGAGGAATCTGCAGATCTCTCCATAGCTCCTGCTGGGTAGCCTTAGGCAGAGGCTAAATTAACACCTCCTTAGAGATCCAAGAATTACAGGGCTCCATTTCCCTCTAACCTGTCAGTGCTCCTGAGTGTACATGCTGCATCCCCCTGCTGCTGCTGGGCTGCCAGAGCTGACAGGAGAGGGCCCATGCCTCATTCCCCCTGCAGGGCCACCACCCCTGAGAGCTAGAACTCTTGGGGGAGTTCATTAATGTGGTGCAGATTAAAACCTTGATGGAAGGAGGTGGGGTAGAAGACAGAAATCTGAATATAGAGGAATAGGAAGAGTTGCAATTTTCTGAGATTCCCAAGTATAAGGATGCCGAGAATAGGTTCACCTTTTTAATGATGGTTATTGACCAGGAGAGGTTTCAAGGATGTTGGCTAAACCCCTTATAGGACTTTCGCAATTTATGGAGACACCAGCTGCCGGGTCAATTTGTTTCAAAGAAGTCATTTGGGTGCATTCTATAGAAATTAAGCATTTTATATCACAGGTGAATTCATTTGTTATTGCAATCTTAATAAAAAATTTACATTCTTCTGTTTTGCGGGACCTGGAATAGCCCCTGAGCATTCAGTTAGTATACACCAGACATGGATCTTGTCTCCAGTATAAAAAACAGATATATCATCTCTGAGATGAGGGAGGAAAAGAAAGTACACATCAAAATCTAAGTAACACAGAGATCAAGGTACAAATTGCTCAAAGGTGAAATAAAGGTGGACTTTCTTTTGAAAAATTACTAACTCCTTTTCCTAGCTGCATGCAAAGGGAAAAGTGAGTAAAGAGTCATTATAATAACAGAAGAAGGGAATGTGTAAGATGATTCAGAACTGGTTCTAAAGCAACAGAGGACACCAGAGAGTCATAGGGTGCACTGAGGTAACTGAGCCATGGCCCTCAGGAGAGAATAAATTCCCTCTTCTTGGACCTCTAAGAGGCAAGTGTCCACATGGGGACTGTTAGGTCAAAGGGAAGCCCAGGAGCGGATGCATGCCACCACAAGGCAGGTGGTGATGGAGATAATGGACCCTCCCTGATTTCCTAACAGGTCAACATGCCAGACAGATGGCGACACAGATACTGGTTCCTTCCTGGAATCTGTGACAACACAGGTGGCGGGAACTTCCTCAGCTCATGCCCCCCGCCCCTCACTAAACAGCTGTATAAAAGAAAGTGCCTCCCTCCCTGTTGGCACGAATTCACTGGCCCTGCCTTTGGGGCTCGTGGGTCTCACCTGGGAATGCAGATTAAACCTTCTCTTTTCCTCATTTCTGATTGACTCGACTCTCTTTGTTTTCCTGCGTCACGAACCTTACGGGGACTACAGAGATGGGCAGCAATCTGGTCATCCAGCCTCTCTCATCAGGCTGGCCAAAGGCTGGTCATTTATCAGGAAGGTTGTGAAAGCTTCCCAGAAGTTACCAAGACAAGAGTAAAGGATCAGCATTCAGGGAAGGGGCAGCAGTTGTCATTTCCTGTATCAAAGGTGGCAAGAAAAAGCCCCTGAAGCAGCCCAAGAAGCAAGCCAAGGAGATGGATGAGGAAGATAAGGCATTTCAATAGCAAGAGAGGAGCAGAGAGCAAAGGCCAAGGGGAAAGCCCCCACCCTTCCCCGCACACATGTGAAATGAAGAAATCTGCCAGAAATGAGCTGCTCCTTGTGCCTGGGGCAATGGTGATCCTAAATTCTATTCCTGTTTTAACATCTGGATTCCTTGTGATAACATCTCTTGCTACCTACAACTGGAATGAAGAAGTGTTGTCTGTGAGCTTATTGTACATTTAAGTATAAAGGTTTGTAAAAATAATAAATAAATAATGCTAATTTAACAAAAGAGTAAGAGGACCAGCTTCAAGAGGGTCTGGTCCCTGCAGAGCCCCTAAGAGCCAGCCCCTCCCACATCCCTCCTGATAAGGGCTCTCACTCCTACTGGCCTCACCAGGAGCTTGGGCTTTATGAAGAGGGAGAACAGGGCTCATCTCACAGGCTTCCTGGAGAACAGGAGGGAGGGATTTTTCTGTCTGGGGTAAGGAGTATTCTGGCTCACCTTGGAAAGGTAGAAAGTCAAGACTACAGAATAGGGAGAAGCTGAGGTAACTCAGCCTGGAGAAATAATGGTCCCTCCAAGAAATAAATAAGACAGCTATTTAAACCTCCCTTCTTTAAAGATCACTCTTCCCCCGGACTCAGTGTTCCTCTTTTCTGACACCTCAGCAGAGACACCCACAAGCAGAGCAGCTTCAGAATCACAATTTAAGACACCAAACACAGTCAGTCTGCTCCCCCAAAACCTCCTGTCCTTTGTCCCCAGAAATTGCCCCACTTACTTTCAGGAAATATAGAGGAGTGTCAATTCAATGGAGGAGATCTGCTGTAAGTCTGGTCAGTATTCACTCACCAAGCCAGCGACCAGCTCTCCACAGAGGAGTTCCCCCACAGGAGTGGAGTGAGAAATGAAAGTTAAGTTCATAGAAGTGGGAAAGAAACAATGGAAGCAGAAGAGAAACTTAATAATAATAACAATGGGAGGTCACCACATAGGACACTTAGGGAAGTCAATGCTTCAGTATGTTATGTTTTCATCCGTTTTCAGATTATTCTATCAAGAGTATTCAAATAAGAAGAATGTAAAATCTAATGATACACTCAGTTCTTATCCCTGGCAGAGCCCCTAAGATCCCATCCCTCCCACATGCCTCCTGATAAGGGCTCTCATTCCTGCTGGCCTCACCAGGAACTTGGGCTTTATGAAGAGGGAGAACAAGGCTCCATCTCACAGGCTTCCTGGAGAACAGGAGGAAGGGATTTGCTGTCTGGGAAA